TCTGCCGGGAAAGGAGGGACAATCTCCTCCTGTACCACTCAGATCTGATTTGATGGTACACAGACACACAAAAATAATAACAAGATAAAAAAAAAAAAGATCTTCACCCTGAAACCCACAGCGTCCCTTTTCAGCAGGAAGTAGCTAAGAGAATACGCCATCCCCTTTTCCTTATGACTCAGGGTGAAGTCTCTCTCAGGGAGGAGTGATAGGGAATGGCAAAGGACACACCGACAAAGGAGATTAATCAGAACTGACTTTGACAAGCACTGTGGCAATTGGACAATTAAAACAGACATTCGGATGGCAGGGAAGAAGAACAAACTGGGGAGGAGGGTGGAGAGAATGGTGTGGCAACGAAGGAGTGAAAGCCCAGAATCCCTGTGAATGTTCATTGAAACTAATAAAATTTAATAATAATTTAAAAAAAAAAGAAACAGATGAGGGAGACAATTGTTTAAAAGTGATATATGATTAGGTATTATTATCATGACAGGAGTCCAGAACGAAGGCTGCATTGTGGAGTGGACTTGGGGGGAGTGACTGCATAACAATGAAAGAATTTTTTTTTTACTTTTCAAAGAGAAGAACTAATTGGGAGGATGGGTGAGCAGGGTGGGGAGGGCAGAAAAGTGCAACAATGAATGAATGGAAATCCAAAGTCTCTGTAAATGTTCATTAAAATGAATAATAATTTAAAAAAAAAAGGAAAAAAAAGAAATGGAAGGAGGCACATGAAACCCACTACCTGTCTGCAGGTATGTCGTACTAGGGGCAGGGGACTTGGGTATCACTATAATGCTCGAAGATATGCCAATGGTATTTGAAAACCCTATAGGAATGCAGGTTTCAGCAGTTTCCAGATTAAGATAGTCTACCAAGAAAGGCCTGGCAGTCTCTTTCAAAAAGCAGCCAGTGAATGAATGAACGTTATGAATCACAACAGCATTCTGTAAACTATAGTTCTGGAAGATGAGCTCCTCAGGCTGGAAGACTCACAAAACACACAGAGGCCACATGCGCTCGAGCCTATCAACAACCACGAAGACTTGTGTGGGACTGGGCAGAGTTCCGTCCTGCTGTTTGTGGGGTGGCCAGGAGTCAGAGCTGATCTGTGGGCAACTGACAATAAAAGGGAATTCTGGTGGCTTAGTCGGAAGGAGCTGTACCGCCAACCCAAAGGCAGAAGGTGTGAATCCATCTGCTGCTCCACAAGAGAAAAATGAGCAGTTTTCTCCTGTTTGACTTTCAGATTCTGAAAAGCCACTGGAGGGTCAGTTAGGAGTTTGTTGACTCAGCAGCCCACAGCAACAACAATGAAGAAGAAACAAAACCGGCCATAGGCTGGTCATTGTTAAAGCATGGAGATGGATGCTTGGGGAGCTCATTCCACTTTCTGTCTGCTTTTGGATTTGTGTTTGGAACTTTCTATATGGAAAAGAGTTTTCTTTGTGTTGGCTGTTTTTTTGGTTATCCTACTCTTGATTTGGATGCTGGAGACAGACAGTGTCTCATTCTTGGTAGCAGCCACAGCTCCTAGTACGCAGGCTACACAATGTATACGCAGTAACGGCACACAAAGGACCCTTGTGATGTGCGCTCAGGTGCCAGGCGCGGAGGTTGGCTGAGGCTGAAGCCTGACACCACTGCAGGACGGTGACCTGAGCTCTGTTCTAATCAGGCAGAGGGGGTCAGTCTTTCTGCTCATCTGTGTAGGAAACAGGACTGAGCAGCACCAACATGGGCTCAATGGGGCTTCCCACTGTCTCTAGCTGCTTTCGGCTGCCTCTCTCACTTTCTTTCTCTTCCTCTCTCCACTCAAAGGAGTTCACGCACAGGCCTTCACAAAACTTTTCCTTCTAATCCGAGATGGGATTAAGTTGATTTGTTTAAAAATATCCGGCACTTGACGTGTCACTGACCTTAATATGAGATTTCCGTGCAGTGGTGGGAGACACTATGCATTATTGTACCTTAGACATTGGGAGGGACAGGCTCTCAGCAGAATTCAGTCTGCAGAGTTACACAAGTAGAAAAATAAGAGTTTGAGACAAATAGGGCCCTGACAATTTTTTTTAAATAAAAAAATTATTCCGCTTTGGATGAGGAGAGATAATGATGTGAAACAAAGAAACAAAACTCTTGCCAAGGTGTGGATTCCGACTCCTAGTAGCCTACAGAACAGAGCAGTGCAGAGGCCAGGAGAGCAGAGCTGTCCCTTAAGGTTCCCAGGGCTGCAGATCTTTATGGAAGTGGACTGCCTAATCTTTCTCCCAGAGTGACTAGTGGATTCAAACTACCAACCTTTCAGTTAGCATCTCGGTGATTAATACTCTGCACCACCAAGTACCCTTGATGTGAAAAGAGGCCTTTATTCACTATTAGCATCAAGCACAACCTGGGGACCAGCCTTGGCCATTCATCAGGCACTCATTAGGTGTGAGAGAGTTCTGATGGCCTAGTGGTAAGAACCTGCACTCCAATCCCAAAGGCACACAGTTCAAATCCTCTCTACAATACAAAACAAAACAGGTGCAAGGACTGGGCAGGTGTGGTATGCCAATAATCCCAGAGTTATTGTTTAGCGTAGAGTTGGAACTGACCCATAGCTGACCCTCCAGCGGGTTTTCAGAGAATGAATAGCACCGGGGGAGATTGCCCACCTTTCTTTCGCAGAGCACCTGGTGGCCTCGAACCATGTGCCTTCCGGATTGCAGTGCAGCTTCTTGCCAATAGGCCACCAGAATTCTTAATCAGTGAAAAGAGCCCTCAATTATTATTCTCATTTTACAGATGAGGACAATGAATTCCTTGCACAAAGATAGTACGGATCAGAGCCCGAGTTTGCCGGGTCCAGAACCTGTGCTCATAGCCAGCACTTGGCTCTATGCGCTCACTCATTGCCCTGTTGGTTGGCAAGCCACTGACCAATGGAGCTGTGAGGGAGCAGGTCAGCCAAGGGGGGGGGCAGTGCCTGCCCATTCCTTTGGAAGTGTAAGAGGGGAAAGAAGGAGGCAATGATGCACAGGCCCGCCAGTTGTCGCTCCTGAGCCTTTGCTGGCCCCAGGTCTACATCAGGAACAGTGGTGTGCCCTGTGAGAGTGGTGTGCAGGCAGGGAGGGGCAGCTTGCCTGATTTGGCCTGGGTCAGTGGAGCAATCCAGGCTGAGGGGCCTTAAGCAGTGGCCTGACCCCACGGCTGTGCTGACCCAGCACTGGACAGATTCATAAAGTACTGCGTGTATAATCCGGAGAGGCTGAGCTCCTTAGTAAGGACACACCAGCCCAGGTCCCTAGAGACCCTCCTCCCCAGTCAGAATGCCCAGGGGGAATGGGGAGTCCCTACACACAAAGTCCAGGTTTCCTACCAGCTGAGCTATCAGTGACCCTACAGACCCACCTCCCCAGGGTGCCATCCTCTGAGTTATGCATAGCAAGCCTCAAGCATAAGGAATTCTTTCTGGTTCACCCTATCAACAAGAGAAAGGCCTTGGCATCTAACCTACAGGACGCCACTGATGCACGACCACATAAGCTGTATTCATGCTCTAGAGTCCATGACAAACAAAAATCAGCTCACATCATTTACACAGAACCAGAAAGACTGTGACAAGAGTTTGTCTACCTATAGTGAAGTCCGTATTCCCTCAAATGCACAACATATTTTTGTGTTCCAGGAATGCCCTTCATATCAGCAAACGCAAAGTGACAGGCCCTCCCTTGGAGATCAAGCAAGTGGCAACAGGGATCACACAGCTGGCTTAGCACAGGCCAAGTAAATGCTCCACACATGGTCTTAATACATCCCTAGTTCCTATCTGTAGAAGCACGGCTGTCATTCCATTTCATAGATTAGACAAATGACTCATGGAGCTCACAGATAGAATGAGTTACCGAGCCATAATTTGAACCCAGATCTGACTCCAAAGCACATACTCCCACAAGCGCCACTCTCCCTGCTACTAAGAAGAAAGAGAGTCCATCCTTCTTCCATGTTGGATGGCAACATAGTTCTGATGAGGTCTAGAAGAAACTTCTTCTGGCAGGCCGTGGACCTGTCAGCTCTGCCAGGACAACAAACAAGTCTGTCTTGGTGGACGTGCCACAAAGACGCTCCTTAGCTGCAAGGAGGATGACACTTCATGTCACAGACTTCGAGCATGTCAGGAGGGTCTATCTAGTCCTTGGGAAAAGACGTTTTACTGAGAAAAGTGAAGGGTCAGAGAGAGGAAGACCCTCTACAGCATGGATTGACAGGGTGACCATAACAATAGGCATGAAGGGTGCAGGATAGGGCAGGGTTCAGATCTCCCCATGAGTTGAAATCAACTTGATGTCACCTAATAATAACTTAATAAAATACTGTATGCTTCAGTGTCCAAGAGTTCAAGGAACTTGATTATTCACAATTTCGTCATCCAGTTCAGAATCCATGGGTGGTGGAAATAGTTAAGACACTGAGCTGCTACTAAAAGTTAGAAGTTTGAGTCTACTCAGAAGCCCTATGGAAGAAGGGCCTGGTGATATTCTGTGCTGTCGAGATAGTGACAATATGTACAATAGCTCTGAGCCCTGCTCTATCCTGAGCCAACCTTATTGTCTTTGACATTACCTCAGTCACTGAGTCAACCAATCTCATCAAGGGTCTTCCTCTCTTGCACTGTCTCATGCATGGGAGGGTGGAGGGACAGCACCTGGTAATATACTTATTAAAAAAATCAGCCACTGAAACCTTTCTGCTGACACACATGAGGTTGCCAGGACAGAATCAATACAATGGCAACTTGAAAAAAAAATCAACCAGAGGCTCTTCTAGAATGGTATCTGGTTCTGCAGAGTCCTCAGCACTTTACAGATATTACCAGACCTCCCAACATCTGTCCTGTCCAGTCGTACAGGAAGAGGCAAGAGCCCAGAGTAGAGTAGATACAGCGAGAGGTTGTGGCCTCCTGGCCCCAGGCTCCCCTTGTCAGAACTGGCCAGCGTGCTTCCTTGACTCACCTGGGATGTGCTTGGCCCAGCCAATGATGACCACGAGCTCCCTGTCTGCCAGGTCACAGAGGGTGGTCAGGACCTTGATGTCCCCTTCAGGCAAGCCAGAGGGTAGCATGGCGTAGATCTTGTCTGGCTCGGCCACCAGCAGGTAGGAGATGATCTTGGTCACTGCAAGGGCAGAGAAGGAACCTTAAGTGTCTGGGTGAAGAGGAAAGGGCCAAGGTGTGGTTTAGAATGGAAACAAACCTGGACTGGGTTCCGATATCCTCTGGTCACATGTGGCTGTAAGGTCCCTTTCTGATTTTATAGAGTTGCAGGTGGTCTGAGCTGTAGGGAAATGTAACTCTTCAAGGAAAGTGGCCTGGTGAATAATCCCCAAGAGGAAGCTATGGGACCACTCTAAGAAGATGGCTAGGGGCGCATGTTGGGTGAGTGAGCCCCTGATTTCTTAGCACCACACACTTCCTTTGAGGCCCCATACATATGGAGCAGCTCTGAATGATGCATGAAGCAACCCACACCAAGGCCAGACAACACTGTCATCTCCCCAGGATCTTGTACCCTGCCACCTAGCACCCAGGGGGTGGCACTTCCCCAAGCCACACCAGATGTTCCAAGTGCAAGCACTGGTGAGGGGCTGGCACCACCTGGCCACTCACTTGGTTTTTTAGCAGGTGGAGAAATCTGTAGGCTTAGGTATGGGCTGTTGTCCGAGTCTAGCCGCCGCTTATATTTCTGCCGGCCTCCACGTACTCGGTCAAGACGCACACCTGTTGGGGAGAAAGGGACAAGGTGTCAGAGGGTCTCCAGCATCACTGCTGGTGTGACACTGACATGTTAATTTTAAGGATGCTAAATCCATCAAGTCCAAGCCCAGGGAGCCCTCTAGTGCTGCTGTGGACCAGGTGTCTGGGTGCTCCTGAAACAACAGTCTAACACATTTGCCCCATGCATTATCTTGCCTCTCCAGTGGTTCAAATCCACTAGCAGCTCCAAGGGGGAAAATGGGCAATCTCCTTCTGTGCAATTTACAGCCTCTGAAATCCCACTTGAGGGTCAGCTATTCTGATGTGACAATAATGAGCTGAGTTGTGTTAACTTTGAAACCAATGAATGTTCAGTCAACTTGCAAGATAAGTCAGGAATCCACACCATTGCCAAATGCAACCCATCTGCCAGTTCTTGCTCAACAAGAGACACAAAGGACAGCACAGAACTGTGTCCCTCTTTACAGAAGGAGTTTGTCACATTCTTCTCCCATGGAGTGGCCAGTGGGTTCGAACAGGAGATCTTTTGGTTAGCAGCTGAATACTTAACCACTGTGCAATGTCACATCTCTTATTGCCAGGCACTTCAAAAGAGCTAAGCCAAGTATTTCCAGATGTCTTGCCCAAGAAGCATCTGGGTGGTAACAGTAAAAATCCAGGATCTAAGCATGATCCTTGTGTCTCCCCTGAGTCCTGCGAGCCTCTCATAGCCTTCTAGTAACTCTTCTGCAGACTTGGTTTGGTCCAGCTAAAAGCACTGAAGCTGGGTTCCCCCCATAGCAGAACCCAAACTAAAACCATGAACGCATCAGATCTATCTGGGAGGCGGCCCCTGGGATCAACAGTCAAGTGGGGAAGGGAGACACAGAAAAAGAAGGAAGCTCATTAGTGTTATGTTCGTGCATTGGTTACTGTTGTGGGCAATTGAGGCTCAACCAGCAGACAGGATCCAGCATGCCTCGCTGTCCCCCCTGGAAGGAGGCGATTGGAGTGATGTCTAACCTTAGATCCATGCTGAACAGGCTATGGTGGCCACGGAAAGCCCTGGAGCCGAGAGTAGCAGGCATGAGCTGTGAGCAGGCTGGCATGCACGTGTCCCGACTGAGTTCCCAGGGAATTTGAACAGGGCACCCAACGTCCACAGCTAGTCTACCCAGCCAGGAGCACCAGCACTTCCTGGAGCTTGTTTGACATGTCAGTGCTCAGGCCTGGCCCCAGAGGAATGGGGATCAGCGCTGTAACAGGGTAATTCCTAGGTACACGAAAGGTCAAGAAAACCACACCCCAGCACACAAGCGGACATTTAACCATCCTCCAGTCACATCTTCGACTCAGATGGGAATAGCTGAATCATAAGACTTCAATCTACCTGCTGGTCCAACTGGCTCCCATCTGCCTCCTGAACTCAGCACCCTAATGCCTGTAAAGGAAGCCTGGCAATATGGTTAAGTGCTCAGCTATTAACTGAAAGGTCTGAGGTTTGAACCCATCAGCTTCTCTGTGGGAGATAAAGACACAGCAATCAGCTGCTGTAAAGATTTCAACCTCGGAAATCCTTTGGAGCCTTTTACTCTGCCTTAAAGGGTCGCAATGAGTCAGGATTCACTCAAGGTCATACAAAAACAATCCCTTCAGAGAGGCCAGACGAAGTAAGCACATACAGTTTACAGATTGTAAAAACTGAGGTTCATCCACAAGTTCTTTGCTGTTGCAACTGTATGACCTTCTAGAGCACAGCAGGTATAAACTCTCCTCTAAATGTTCTCCTCCAGATCTTTATTACATAGTGGTCAATAACTCCAATCAATAAATGTATTGATTATCAGACTTTTTTTTAAAAGGAGCTTGTTGGCTTTAATTATGTACAAACTGATACCCGGTATAAGGCATGTTTGCCCCCCCTTACTTCTCCCCTGCCTTTGCGAATCCTGTGCTGTGCACAAGCCCACAATCCCTTCAGCCCGTGGACCACAAAGATTAAGTTCCCAGGCTTTCCATGCGTGTCCTGCAACCCCGAGCAAAGCGACTCTCACAAGCTCGGGTTAAGGGGAGGTGGCAGGTGATAACACCAATTCTGACACCACAGCTGGCTTTTGTGACTGTCAAACGATCACAATGGGAGAATGCTTGGAGGTTTGGAAAGCAGATTCAGTAGAACATGTACGGCCAACCTTCTCACGAGCCACAGTCTGGCATCAACCTGGCACACGCTACTTTTCATGAGCTTCTGGATTAAACAGGTTCTTCCAGGACAGAACCCATGTCTGCTCCATTTCTGGGTATTGTTCTTCCTCTCCACACTGTCAGGGCTTGTTAAAGAGCCTGTGGTGATGGGGGAAGGTCCCTCCTGTGCTTCCAATCAATGGCTCCTGGTCCAGGGTTGGGGAACGTGGGCCCCCAACTAAGCAAACTCATTGTCTCCCTCTTGCCCACGTTACTCCCCGAAGTAATTAATGTCCTGAGATCACCTTTGAAAGCTCACCTCAAATGTTACCTCTGCCAGGCCAGTCTTTGAGTCTTCTTCTGCCCTCACTTTTTTCCCAGGCAAAGCTGGTCATGCCCTTTCCTGGATTCCCTTTGCTTGCTGTGTATTACAGAAATTACGACCAAAAACCACCAATACGTCACAATACACCATGCACACATCTCCCTGGTCAACTGTGAGGATCTCCTGGGAAATTCTTTCCATTTCCATTTATCAGTCTAAGCTCAGCAACCAGCCTATGGTACACAATCAAAAGGTCCAAGTAAAATGAAGCCCTTGGATTTAAGAAACAGAAGAATGTCCAAGTAGCAAAGGCCATCTGGCCCAGGGTCTCAGATTGAAACCTCGCCCCTTCCTGCATCACCCTCACGACCTTGGCTATGCTCCAGTCCACCCATTGCTGTAGTCACTGTGTCAGTCTGTTACTGAGAGTCCTCTCTTCCACTGACTCTCCACTCTGCCCAGCATGACATTTCTTTCTAAGGAATGGACCATCCTGACACATGACTGAAGTATATGTGATGAACTTGTAGTATCTTTGCCTCTAAGGAGCACACTAGTTGCACTTCCTCCAAGAAAGATTTGTTTCTTCCTTTAGCATTTTATTATGATATATTCAATATTCTACACCAACACCACAATTCAAAGGCATCAATTCTTCTTCAGTCTTCCTACATGTTGTCCAATTTTCAGATGTCAGTGAAGCAATTGAAAATATCATGGATTGGAATAGGTGCACCTTAGTCTTTAAACTGACATCCTTACTCCCTAGAATTTTGCAGAAATCTCTGACAGCAAATTTAGCCACTGCAACACACTTTTTTTCCCCTTAACAGCTGCTTCCACGAGTGTTGATTATGGATCTGAGTGAAATCAAATCCTTGGCAACTTCAGTCTTTACTCCATCTATCACTGTTGATCCAGTTGTGAGGATTTTTGTCTCTATACTGAGGTATAACCCTTACTGAAGGGTTGGTTCAGTAAGGGCCCTAAGTCTTCTTCATTTACAGTCACATCTCTGCCTTCTACACATTTGTCTCTGTTGATGTGGTTTGCTTTAGACGAAGACATGTCACCTCCTCAAAGGTAGAGACCAGAGATATCTGTCTGAAATCTCTAACAGCCACTGGTTAGCTATGTTTACACTTATTATCTGATAATTTGCTTTTAAATTTTCTTGAGCAAGCTGCTCATAATTTTAATAAAAAGATCTCTCTCCTCAGGAGAAAACAGTGCAGAATGGGTTCTCAGTCAGGGCATCATGGGAAGATATTCCCATATACACTTCAGAAGAGAAGCTACACAATTTCTAGGGGCATACATGGTGGCTTAGGGAGTTCTGGTGGCCTAGTGACAAGAAGCTGTAGTGCAATCCTAAAGCACACAGTTCGAGTCTGCCCACTGCTCTGCAGGAGAAGGATGAACAATCTCTTCTCATGCGATTAACTGCTTCTGAAAACCCGCCACAGGGTCAGCTACGGGTTGGTTCTGACTCAACAGTACATGACAACATGGTGGCCTGGCAGTAGGGAGTCGTGCTCTTAACCCAAAGGCCACCAGTTGCTTCACAAGAGAAGGATGGGCAATCTCCTCCCATGTGATTTACAACTTAACCACCTCTGAAAACCCACTGGAAGGTCAGCTATAAGTAAGTCCTGACTCAATAGTACATAAAAACCACCCAATTTCCATTCCATTCCCCTGCTTGCTTGCTTGCTAACAGAACCCAGATTTTGATCCCAGAGACAACATGGCCTCACCTTGTTCCAGCAGTCCTCCCTCCCTTTCTTTCCAAGCTTCCTTGGTAGTTAGGGCTTGATCACATGACCTGATCTGATTAACTGGATGGTAAGGAGAAGTTCAGAGAGTTTCTGGAATGAGCCTTGCTTTTCGGGTCTGTCTAGCGTAGTTCTTTTTCCTTTCTCTGACCAGACCTGAGCGATGATTCTCACAGTTGTGCTGACCTCCTTGTGGCCACGAGGACGCCATGTGAGGACACAAACAGTGCCAGAGGAGAAGGAAAGAAGGCGCCCTGGGACCTGGAGAGATGGTCAAGGAGCCTGGGTAGGGTCAGTGTTCACCCACTTCTGGATATAGTTGTTGTTGTTGTTATGTGCCGTCGAGTTGCCTGTGACTCATAGCAACCCTATGTACAACAGCCCTAAACTCCGCTCTGTCCTGTGCCAATCACACTGTCTCTGACACTCCCATCCCAATATCCCAGTCACTGAATCAATCCACCTCATAGAGGGCCTTCCTCTCCTGCGCTGTCCCTCCACCCTCCCAAGCATGATGTCCCTCTCCAAGGACTGCTCTCTCCTCACTACATGTCCAAAGTATGTTAGACGGAGCCTCAGAATCCTTGCCTCCAAGGAGTCACCTGGTTTAACCCTTTCCAGGACAAATCTATTTGTTTTCCTAGCAGTCCATGGTATTCTCAGTACTCTTCTCCAGCACCACAGCTCAAAGGCATCAGTTCTCCTTCTATCCTCCTTGGTCATTGTCCAACTCTCTGATG